GATAGAGATTGATATTTTGTATCACTGGATATGATAAAGAGTTTGAAATGTAGGGGAACTGTTATGGTTATCTCAGTAGGAGATTAGAGAAAAGACAAGGCAGGAGACTACTGTGAAAGTCCAGGCAAGAGATAAAGATGATCTGAAGTAAGGGTGGTGTCAGTGGTGGCTCAGGACAAAGATACATGTGATACCGACTTAAAGAATCCGCCTGTCAGTGCAGAAGACACAGGAAATGCTGGTTCAATGCCTGGGTTGGGAAGATCCCCTGGAGGAAGAAATGGCAATGCAGTCCAGTATTCCTGCCTGGAGAATCCCATGGACAGAAAAGAGCCTGGTGGTTGCAAAGAGTTGGATATACACACACATTAAAAGAGAGAATCTATTTGATACAGAAGTAAAAACAGAGGAGGGTAGTATTAGTTCTGTCAGACTCTAGGGACCAGCATTGTGTATGGTGATGATATTTATTAGAGTCGGATGAGCAACACACTTAAGCTGGAGTGAGGCTGGAGAGTATTCAACCCTGGACTCACTGAGTCACTGAAATTCTTATCAGATATCCAGATAGAATCTATCCAGATAGAATCTACAGATAGTCCAGAGTATTAAATTCTGGACTCACCGAGTCACTGAGATTATCAGATACCCAGATAGAGTCTACTGAGATTCTTATCAGATATCCAGATAGAATCTACTGGACATTTGAAACTGTGGCTCTGAGCTTAGATAAGAATTCTCAACTGAGTATGTAGATTTGTGAGTATAAAGGCATGGGGAAAAAAACTCATGGGGCTGGATAGAATTTTTACTCTTTGAGTATCTGTTATATACCAGGCACTGTATTAGGTTCTGGTGACCCCTTGATTAAATAAGGCATAATTTCTTTAAAGTGTCTGTTATGTGGGATTCAGGGAGTGGGATGGGAGTGCAAAATTATGTTAAGTATACAGACACATTTTTATATAAAGTATACAGATAAATTTTTAATAAGAATGTATAGAGATACTTTTTTTTTCTACTTACTATAATCACTAATTGTATGTTAGTTTTGTTTATTTTCTAGATTCAAGTAAATTGAATGTATAAAGGGAAAGGAGGATTCTCTAAGAGAGAGAAGAGAATGTTTAGATGGAATACTAAGCGTTAATACTGGTAGGATAGATGGTGATGTTCAGAGAAAAGGGCATCGGCACCAGGCTTACTGATTTAGGACACAGAGATAAGGTCTTATGTGAACCTGGGGAGTGGTTAGGAGTTGCTGCTGATGCGCAGAGCAAGTAAGAGTGATGGAGCCCAGAAGTTTTAGGAATTATGAGATCAGAGGTTGGGTTCCCAAGTCATTGCAAAGGATGGTGCAAGTCGTGGTGGAGACTGTAAAGCAAGTGCCTTCATCCTCACCGGACGTCGTTGGACATCCACCGGAGGTGGCTGGGGGTAAAGTCAAGGAAGGGTAGAAGGTGAAAGATTCTGAATGGTAGGAGTTTCCAAGGCAGAGGGGGGTTTCACTGAAGGCAGGAAGGATCTGTGGTGGGTTGAGAAATGCTTGCATTACTATTTGTCTTTTCAGTATCTTCTGGAGATGGCTATAAGGCATCTGGGGTTAGCATTCCTTGCTGTTATTCCATGGTGATGAGGGCATTTGTTTGCCAAGGAAATTGCATAAAAATTGGTGGAAAGAATTGCTAGGTAGGCCAGCTTTGGGGGCTAGATCATTGGATAGGAGGGTGAGGGTTTGGCAATGGCCTTGAATTTCAGATGTGGACAGTTGTAAGGTGGATATATGATTTCAACCTGCCTCATGGCTCTGAAACGTTCAGAAACTGTCACAAAATAATAAAACACAAGACATTTTTTAATGGAAATTTGTGATCAAGTTTTTTTCAATGATAAAACTCAGTTTTATCTGTGTGAATCAGGGCAGGAATTCCTTGAAAAGAAAGGCTCTTTTGGAAATGCGGAGGGTGTCATTTTCTCCTCTCCATTCAGAAGGGCATAGAACAATCCAGGAAGAGAGATTGTTATAAATGAGAGCTGGGAAGTGGGGGATCTGTGTGGGAGTTTGTGAAATGATTAGCTGTGGGGCTCAGAGATGGAAGAGATGAACACTTAGATTGTAGGAGGTGGCCAATTTGGGAAGGGCCTTGAACGCCAGATGGAGGAATTTGGTTTTATTCTGCAGAATAAAAGAGAAGTGACATGCATAGGAGTTCTGGGGCTTGCGAATGTCGGGAAGCAGGAGCAGCGTAGAGATTGGAGCAGAGAGCGCAGGCTGAGCTGTCAGGAGCTGTGGCTCCTGGGCACTCAGTGATGGAGCACAGGGTCTCTGCCCTCGAGATTTCAACCTAGTCAGAGGGGATCAAGAGTGTCTACAAGGTGGAAAAGACAATGTGAAAAGAGGGGTGCAGAGTACCATCCTGACCAGTGCAAGGGGATCAAAGAAGCTTTATGAAGGAGGCAGTATTTGGTCTCCACACTGAGGGGGAGACAGGGTTTTGATCTATGGCCAGGAAGAAAGGAAAGAAGATATTCTGCAAGTAGAAATTGCGTTGGCCCAAAGCATAGAATGTATTTGAGGGAAGAACAAATGGTTCATTTAGTTTATAGCAGGGGTTCTTAATCTTTTTTATGCCACAGATCTGCTAGATAGTCTGGTGAAGCCTATAGCCTCCTTAGAATAATATTTTTGGTGTATAAATTAAAATAATAGCATTGCAAGGGAAAGCAATTGGATTAGAATAAAGTCATCAATAAAATAAACACATTGATGATATAGTAATATGTGTATTTCATTAGTAATGCAATAAATAAGAAGGTCTAGCAGCCATCTAATCATGACTATAATTTCCAAGTTGAGCTTAAGTGATACTTTGAGATATTGGCAACAACTCTAACATGATATGAAAATATCTGAAATCTCAATTGTTGACAAAATTACCGGTACTGCTAATACTATGGTTTGTTGCCTACAGTCGTAATATAAGTACAATGCTCAAGTCATTACTGAAAATAAAGGTAAACGTTTTCCCCATAAAGGATCATGCCCTTTATAAATTCTAGCCACAGGTGCCAGGGGAGTCATGAACCTCAGTTAAGAACACCTATAGAGAATGCAGTTCAGAAAGTAATACAGCACAGTGGCCTAAGTTGCGAGATCTGCCAGGGCTTTAAGATAGAATTTGATTTTCAAAATCAACATTTATTCACTATTGGAAAAGTACCATGCTAACTGAGTAAACCAAAAACGCCCACGAAGTTGTATTTCTTTAGGCCACCCGTGTGGTTTGCCCCTGGTTGCCTAAGAAGACCTCTCGACAGTATTTACAGGATGAGGAGTGCATTCTTCCCAAGTCCGCAGAGAGGCATCCAGTGCAAGGTGCAGAGCGGAGGTCTGAGTAGCCCAGGTGGCCAGCGGCACAGTGCGCTCTTTGTCTTCCAAACCCTGGGGAGGAGATGGGGAGGCAGAGATGTGGCCTGTTGTCTTGGCATCAGGTGCTGTCCCTGGCCTTTTTGTTTTGGGCTGAGTTATTCGCTAGCTGGAGAAATCTTAGTAAAACATATATAGAGCAGTTAGATGGAGAGGCAGAAGAACAAAGGAAGCAGAAGGAAAACGAGAGGAGGCTTTGGAAAGGTGCTTTTTTTTTTTTTTTTTTTTGGTGCGAGGTGTGTCCTGAGCACCCAGTCTTCAAGACTGAGATTTTCCTCTGTGCCTGGAACCTAGCTTACATGACTGCCTTCTGCAGCATGCCGTTTTGGAATATGACAAAAACTGTGGAGACAGCTGCTTACTTTAGAGGCAAATAAGGGCTCCTTTGTCTTCTAACAGTGAATTGGAACAAAGGGGCTTCACGTTTATGGCTCTAGTCGCAGCCTGACCACATTGAGTGGGAAACCTGGGACACTTGGAGCTCCTGAAGCCGAGAGAAAATAAACCTTTCAGTCCTGCAGCCCTCCTGTTTCTCTTCTTTCTTCCCTGGGCAGGGTGAGTCTACAGTGATGTGGTCAGCATTGTGCTTGCGAAATGTGCTCTTTATTCAATTTATGACTGCTGTTCCTTGTGCCTTCTGACCACCGGGGACACCCTGCAGAGCTCTGAGCTCCCAGTCCTAAGGGTCATCTATCTAGGCTGCTTCGTCCGCCATCAGATGCCCATGCTCGCAGAAAATGTCAACTGTACCACTCAGTGCACAAAGGAGTGATTCTCTCTGCAAAGGCAAAGAGGAAACATCTGATGTTGTAGCCAGCCATCTGGCTATCTTTAGGGACTGAACATGCATATTAATTTCATCTTTTGTTTATTACCTAGTTCACCTTCCAACATGTAGGTGGTGTTAATTGCAATGTTTGTTAAGCAGGCTCCCCACTGCAACCCATCCTTTCAATCCCAATCCTTGAGCAATTACCACCACTAATATATTTCCAGTTGAGTGTACCAGCCAGTAAAGTGGACAGCCTGTATCTCTTCTCTTGGATGATGATCAATTAGCTTTTCTGGCTCTTTAGAATGTAAAGATGAAACATATTACTGAAAGATTTAATTTTCTAAAGTTAAGAAATGGAAAGGGAATTTTTTTGGAAAGTGGAATGCATTGATGAAATAGTACTGTCTGAAACCCACTTATATAAAATGTACAAAAGATTTGGGTGGGACAGACCTTCACTGGGCTTTTAGGCAAAATAAAGTCCTAAAACAGATAGTTTGGCTTCTCTTAAATGATTCTAGTCACTGTTTTCAAAGACCACACAGCCCATAAATATCCTTTTTCTGCTTGCCAAGGTTATGAGCAAGCCTGATTGACAATTTAGTCTTGACAGGGGCACCTGTGTTTTTAGTGACTTCTCTTTTTGCTTCCTCTTATAAAACATGAACTTCCAACTGCAAATGAAAATAACATCTGATTCTACACAGCAGAGTCAAGTGAGAGATGATGGCTGTCTAACCAGATTACCATACATACCAAGTTGTTCCTTAATTCCTTTTTTCAACTAGGACAGGCAGATGTCTCTGCGAAGTGAGGTGGAAAGTTATTTCCATACCAGAAAGTGGCTTGGAAGAAGGTGCAGAGAAAGGAATGGAAAACAGAAATACAAGTAAGCAAAAGAGGAATTTAAGATGAAACTCTGATACCTTCTTTCATGATTTTATGTAATTGACATTTCAGTAATATGTGATAAAGATATCTCTATATAAAACATTTGTAATTTTGGACCCAAATCAACCAGGGTATACAGTTGAGCAAGAGGAGAAATAGTTTATTCCCTTCCCAGATGGGAAGAGAAAAGAGAATGGAAGAAGTTACGGATTTTCAGAACTCTTTAAGGAACATGGCATTTGAATCTCTCCTGGAATCAACATTTCTAAAAATATTTCAAGCTTTATGCTTAGCATCTTTTGGCTTTCATATGTATTATATGTATACATGCATTTTCTGCTTTATTTGTTCATAACGTCATGTGCGCCTGCTAAGTCGCTTCAGTAGTGTCCAACTTTCTTAGGTTCTATAGACTGTAGCCCACCAGGATTTCCCAGGCAAGAATAGTGGAGTGGCTTGCCATGCCCTCCTCCAGGGGTTCTTCCCAACCCAGGGATCGAAACTTCACCCCTTATTTCTCCTGCATTGGCGGGTGGGTTATTTACCATTAGTGCCACCTGGGAAGCCCTTGTAATGTCATGGTGTTAGTCGCTCAGTTGTGTCCAACTCTTTGAGACCCCATGGACTGTAGCCTGCCAATCTCCTCTGTCCTTGGAATCCTCCAGGCAAGAATGCTCTAGTGGGTTGCCATTCCCTTCTTCTGTAATGTCATAAAGGTAGGTAAATAAGTAGCCATTTGTCTTTCCATGGGTCTGGAGTCAATGCAAATTTCTAGGTATTAGGAATGAAACAGTTGGGTTATTTTGTCCTTTCTTGGTTATGTACGCTACACTGAGACATGTATACTTTGATAGCTTGAAGGGAAACTACATTAGCAAAAACATAATCTGGTGACTTAACATTGCACTTTTTTTGTAAGGGCACATTAAGTAAAAGCTTAGAGCAGGTAGTACACAAAAATAGGGATTCTCTCTCTACAGCTGGCCTTGTTGGAGGTGGCTTAGAATAAGGGTGCAGATTGATAATTTAAGAGTTTTTGGCTATTTTGCATTTTGCTTCTGAGTTTCCTGAAATTCTGGCTTACCAATAATTTTTTTATGGTATTAGTTTGGAAATTAAAACCACCTAATTTTGTTTTCAAGCAGAACATCTGAGACATGTAGCATGTTATATTACAAATAATAGGTATCCATGAAATGCTTGTTATATAAATGCCAAGCTGAACACTAAAATTTTGTAACTTCCCCTGGTTCTGAACATGTTTATAAGCATACCATATATTTTAAAATAATCATTACTTTTTTTCATGAAACTTGTTCACATATATTCAAGGCATTGTTTTCCTTCTCTTATACTAGGATATTGAGACTCACAAAGTTTGAGTGACTTACATATTTTCACTATTTTTCCATCATTCTATCATAAAAAAATTTCAAAACATTTCTAATGTTCTTCATTCCTTCCTGAAGATTCAAGTTTCCATCAGCCTGAAGAACTCCCTTTAGCACTTTTCATAGTGCAGGATACTGTAATAAATTTGTTCCTTTTGTCTGAAAATGTCTTCATTTTATTTCATTCTTGAAGGATATTTTCACTGAATTAAGAATTTTGAGTTTATACTTATTTTTATTTCAAAACTTTAAATGCATTGTTTGGTTTCCTGTTTTTTTTTTGGATGAGAGTTCAGTTCAGTAGCTCTGTCTTGTCTGATTCTTTGCGACCTCATGAACCTCAGTACATCAGGCCTCCCTGTCCATCACTAACTCCTGGAGCTCACCCAAACCCATGTTAATTGAGTCGGTGATGCCATCCAGCCGTCTCGTCCTCTGTCATCCCCTTCTCCTCCTGCCCTCAATCGTTTCCAGCATCAGGGTCTTTTAAAATGAATCAGCTCTTCACATCAGGTGGCCAAAGTATTGGAGTTTCAGCTTCAACATCAGTCCTTCCAATGAACACCCAGGACTGATCTCCTTTAGGATGGACTGGTTGGATCTCCTTGCAGTCCAAGGGACTCTCAAGAGTCTCCTCCAACACCACAGTTCAAAAACATCAATTCTTCGGCACTCAGCTTTCTTTATAGTCCAACTCTCACATCCATACATGACCACTGGAAAAACCATAGCCTTGACTAGATGGACCTTTGTTGGCAAAGTGATATCTCTGCTTTTTAATATGCTGTCTAGGTTGGTCATAACTTTCCTTCCAAGGAGTAAGCGTCTTTTAATTTCATGGCTGCAATCACCATCTGCAGTGATTTTGGAACCGAAAAAAATAAAGTCAGCCACTGTTTCCAGTGTTTCCCCATCTGTTTGCCATGAAGAGATGGGACTGGATGCCATGATCTTAGTTTTCTGAATGTTGAGTTTTAAGTCAACTTTTTCACTCTCCTCTTTCACTTTCATCAAGAGGCTCTTTAGTTCTCCTTCGGTTTCTGCCATAAGGGTGGTGTTGTCTGCATATCTGAGGTTATTGATATTTCTCCCGGCAATCTTGATTCCAGCTGTGCTTCTTCCAGCCCAGCATTTCTCATGATGTACTCTGCATATAAGTTAAATAAGCAAGGTGACAATATACAGCCTTGACGTACTCCTTTTCCTATTTGGAACCAGTCAGCTGTTCCATGTCTAGTTCTAACTGTTGCTTCCTGACCTGCACACAGATTTCTCAAGAGGAAGGTCAGGTGGTCTGGTATTCCTATCTCTTTCAGAATCTTCCAGAATCTATTGTGATCCACACAGTTAAAGGCTTTGGCATAGTCAATAAAGCAGAAATAGATGTTTTTCTGGAACTCTTCTGCTTTTTCGATGATCCAGCAGATGTTGGCAATTTGATCTCTGGTTCCTCTGCCTTTTCTAAAACCAGCTTGAACATCTGGAAGTTCTTGGTTCACGTATTGCTGAAGCCTGGCTTGGAGAATTTTGAGCATTACTTTACTAGCGTGTGAGATGAAATGCAATTGTGTGGTAGTTTGAGCTTTCTTTGAGATTGCCTTTCTTTGGGATTAGAATGAAAACTGACCTTTTCCAGTCCTGTGGCCACTGCTGAGTTTTCCAAATTTGCTGGCATATTGAGTGCAGCACTTTCACAGGATCATCTTTCAGGATTTGAAATAGCTCAATTGGTATTCCATTACCTCCACTAGCTTTGTTCGTAGTGATGCTTCCTAAGGCCCACTTAACATCACATTCCAGGATGTCTGGCTCTAGGTGAGTGATCACACCAGCGTGATTATCTGGGTCATGAAGATCTTTTTTGTACAGTTCTTTTGTGTATTCTTGCCACCTCTTCTTAAAATCTTCTGCTTCTGTTAGGTCCATACCATTTCTGTCCTTTATTGTACCCATCTTTGCATGAAATGTTCCCTTGCTGTCTCTAATTTTCTTGAAGAGGTCTCTAGTCTTTCCCATTCTATAAGTCAACTACAATTGGAATCATTGTTCCCTATATGTAATACGTTCTCTAGACTTTTTTCTGAATTGGTGGTTTTTAGCAGTATAATTATCATGTGATTAGTCATGGTTTTATTTGTATTCATACTTCTTAAGGTTCACCAAACTTCTTGAGCTTGTAAATTTATATCTTTCACTGAATTTGTGAAATTTTTGGCTCTTAACTTTTCAAATATATTTTCTGTTCCATTCTCTTTTTCCTTGTTTTCTAGAATTTTGGTTACATCTTATTTGGTAAGTGTTATTTTGATATTGTCCCTTAGGTTTCTTTTCAATTTTTCCCTTATTCTTATTTTAAGGATAAATTATTTTTATAATACTTTCCTTTTTCTTTTATTCTTATTCTTCTTTTAAATTAGAGCAATCCTATTGATCTATCTCCGAATTCACTGACTCGTCCCTCTCTGTCACCTCTATTTTGTTGTTAAACCTGTATAGTGAATTATTTTTCAGATATTTTATTTTCCAGATTTAAAATTTTCAACTGGTTCTTTTAAAAAAATTAGTTTCTAGTTATATGTTGACATCTCCTATCTTTTCATTTAATAAAAGGTCATATTTCTTTATGTCATTGAGCATAGTCACAATAGTGGCTTTAAAGTTGTCTGAAAATTCCATCATCTGGGCCATCTCATGATTGTCTTCCTAGAATTATCTTTTCTCTTGAGAAATGGTTACATTTTCCATATGTAGAGCACTATTGGGTTACATTCCGAAGACTATGAATGGTTTGTTGTGGATACTCTGAGTATTGCGTATTTCCTGGAATAGAGCTGATATCTTTTGTTACAGTAGGCCATTCACTGTCCTAGAGCTGCAAATGCTAACATTGGGATGGCCATTTCCATTTCAGCTTAGTTGTTTTATCCTTGGCTGAGCTGCTTGGAGTCTGCCCACACACTTGTGGTTCAGTTGCTAGAGATGTGAGGAGGGTTGCACCCAGAATTTAGAGCTCCCCATTTCTGGCTCTTTACTTCTTGAGATCCTGCCCTCATCCTGGAAGCCATGAAATAGGGAACTCACCCAGTGTTGTTTCCTTCTTTCAAGTGTTAACTTCCTTCCAGATTCTGCCTGCTCTTGGTTGCTCGCCAGTGTCTTCAGGTAGCTGGAATTTTTTGTTTTGTTTTGAATTAGAGTTTATAGTTGCTATCTGTGGGAGATTCAGTGTGTTAAGACCTTAGTTGGCCACTTTAAGTTATTTTTGAGCCTTTCATTTTAGCCGCGTACTAGCAGAACTAGAACTTGAAAAGCTAGCACTCCTCCAACTCTGAGCTGCCACACTGGTCAGTTATTCTTTAACTTGGTTGCTGTACACCAGTTTTCCTTAGGTGAATGAAACAGTGAGAGGGTTTTATTGTAAACCATAAAAATATATGTCAGTTTGGATCTGACTCTGGTGTTTAAGCTAAACATTCACCTTTTATGGACTTTCCTTAGAAAGTCTAAATAGTTAAAAGCTTCTTCTGATACCATCACGTTAAAACAGAGCAAAATTAGTGACAACAAGAACCATTATCTTTTAATAACAAAGTTAATTCCAAGGTTACTA